AAAAAAAAAAAAAAAAGAAAAGGGAACATAAATGATGGTGTGAGTTTAGCACTGAAACTTGCCTAATCCTAATGGCCCTTGATCAGAATGCCAACCCCAAAGTTACTTTTGTTTTGGAGGGTTTTTTGGGATGTTGGGAGGGACACGGTCCTGCACTATTAGCCCAGGCTGGCCTCAAATTCCAGAACCTCCTGCCTCAGACTCCGAGGGCTGGGATTACAGGCATATGTGGCTGTGCCTGGCTGTTTTCTTTGCCTATTTCTTCTGCTTTCTGCAGTGTTGGGGATTGAGCCCCTATGCATGCTAGGCAAGTGCCTCAAACACTGACCTACACTCCAGACCCCAAAATGTTGTTTTCACTTATTTTTAACAGAATGATTATTTTATTGAGTCTATTATGAATTAGTGTGACATTTTACAGAAGTTGAAGAAAACAGATTTTTGGCTTCTTGTACATAAGTGTAGTTTGGCCTAGCTGGGAAACAGAATCCTGCTGCAAATTGTTCATGACTGATTTCTCAAGCCAAAGTGGGCTTCACAGTGGACTGGAACAGTAATAGCCCACCTACTGTCAGGAGAGGCCAGGGCAGGCTTTTCCCAGCAGGCCTGCCTGAGTGGGGCTTGTCCTAGACCTAGGACCCAGAGCCCACAGAACAGTCCCCGGCGTGGGAGCCAGGGGCCTGTCGGCTTCTTCAGCAGAGTCATCTGCCAGCAGCAAAGGTGGGGGTCTGGATCCTGGCAAAGCCGAATGTAAAGGTCGAAACCTGTGTTCTTTAGCAGGTACAACCTAAGCACCTACTGAGAAACATGAGAAGTTACTTTAAGTGTAGAAAATAAACAATGTGTGTTTCTGCTTTTAATGAGCTTTTTTTTTTTTTTAATGAGCTTATTTTTTTGCCTTGCCCCTTAGTAGAATCTCACATGAAAATGGAGAGTAAACGTTACGACTCATTCATGCGGTCCCTGAGCTGATGTTGGTTTTGAGCCTCTGGAAACTAGACCTTCAAGGGGCCTTTTCCCCCTCATAAGCACCACATACCTCATATGTGATAGACACTTGTGTACTTCTTGAATAAATGAATGTGTGTTGCCATTTTAAAAACAAATAAGCCAAAAGGAGAAATTAAGTCATTTAATCCTTTTTTTTTTTTTTGTACTGAGGATTGAACGCAGGACCTTCTCACTGGGCTGCATCCCCAGCCCAAGTCTTTTTTTTTTTTTGGTACCAGGGATTGAACTCGGGTCCTTGCACTTGCAAGGCAGGCAGCGCAACCACTGAGCTAAATCCCTAGCCCCTGATACTTAAATTTTACAGACTAGTGTAGCCATCACCACAATCCAGTTTTAGAATATTTCTTTCACCCCAAAATGATCCCTACCCCCATTTGCAATCAATTCCATTGCCTATCCCTGAAATTTTTTAAATGTGGGATTTAGAAACTTTATATTTTTATCAGAAAGGTAGGAAAAGAAATTTGGAGTAAGTACCTACTTTCTAACATGGTGACCAGAAATTTTTTCTTTTTTTTGTGGTACTGGGGACTGAACTCAGGACCTTGTGTTTTTGAGGCAGGTGCAGCACCACTGAGCTAAATCCCTGGCCCATATTTTCTTATTTTAAATGTAGATTAAGCACATTTCCAAAAATATACCAAACTAAAAGCTCACCAGTCTTTTTTTTTTTTAAGCTCACCAGTCTTAACCTGAAATACAATATGAATATGTTGGGATTCAACCTAACATCAGCAATTTTAAAATTTTGTTTTGTTGGACATATATCTAGTATTCACATACTGACCTTGCTAAATATTCCTTTTTTTCTTTATTGCCATAAATGTTTGATCAGTAAAGGGAAATCAAAAATCATGGTACTTGTTAAAGAGAATTTATTACAGTAAAAGACACATTGCTATTAACCCACCTCAAAATAATCCCTCCCCCATGAAAACACCCCATTATTCTTGGCAGTATGTCTTACTGTAGTTAAGTTTTTTTTTTTTTTTACTGTAGTAAGTTTTTAAAAACACCGCATCTTTCCATCACCTCTTGTAATCAGATGTCAACCATAGTTATCCTACTGTGCTATAGAACATTAGAAGTTATTACTCTCATTCAACTTTATCTCTTGTTTGATCACCACCTCACCCTTACCACTGTTATATTCTCTACTTCTTTGAGATAACTTTTTTGCTTCCGTTTATTAATGAGTACATGATGTATTTGTTTTGCTCTGCCTGGCTTATTTCACTTAACACATCTTCCAGTTCTATCCATTGCTGCAAATGACAATTTTATTCATATTTATATTTATTTCACATTTCCTTTAGCCACTCATCTATTGATAAGACACCTTGGGCTGGGGATTTAGCTCAGTGGTTTCGCTGCCTGCTGCGTAAGTGCAAGGACTTGAGTTCGATCCCCAGTACCAAAAAAAAGAAGTTTCCATATTCTTGTTAGTCGTTTGTGTATCTTCTTTTGATAAATGTCTATTCTGATCATTCCCTCATTTTTTAAATGAGATCATGTGGAGGTTTTTGCTCTGGAGTTGTTTTGAGATCCTATGTATTCTAGAAATTAATCCCTTTTCTGATGAATAGGTTTGTAGATATTTTTCACTATTCTATGGGTTATATCTTCACACTGGTGATTCTTTTTTCCTTTGCTTGTATAGAAATTTTTAAATTTGATATTATCTCAGTAATTTTGTTTTTATTGCCTGTCCTTTTGTGATCATATCTAAAAAATCTTTGCATGGGACAATGTCCAAAAGTGTTTCCCCTGTATTTCTTCTAGTAGTTTCACAGTTTCAGGTCTTACATTTAAGTCTTTGATCCATTCTTACATCTTTTGTTTTGTTTTGTTTTTTATGGTAAGTGATAGAGATCTAGTTTCTTTCTTCTGTATAAAGATACCCAGTTTTTCTAGCACCACTTATTGAAAGGACTGTATTTTTCCAAAGTATATTCTTGCTGCCTTTGTTGAAAATCACCTCACTGTAAATACATGGGCTTATTTCTAGGTTCTCTGTTCTGTTCCACTGATCTGTGCATCTTTTTTTATGCCAATACTATGCAGTTTTGGTCACTGTCACTTACTTCGTAGTGTTTTGTTTTGTGTTGCTGGGATCCAGACCAGGACCTTGTGATTGCTAGGCAAGTGTTGTACAGTCAGGTATTGTAATGCCTCCTACTGTATTCTTTTTGTTCAAGAGTTTTCCTTTTTAAGGCTGGATAATATTCCATCAGTATATATGGATATATACCACATTTTGCCTGTTCATTCATCTGTCAATGTATACTTGGGTTATTTCCACCTTTTGGCTATTTTGGATAATTCTGTAAACATAGATGTACAAATATCTATTCACATCCCTGCAGTACTTTTTTTTTTAATTGTTGAGTCAGAGTTTTTTTCATATATTCTGAATACCAGTCCCTTATCAGATATATGATTTGCAAAAACTTTCTACCATTTTATGAATTGTCTTTTAACTTTCTTGATGGTATCTTTTTTGTTTTTGTTTTTTGGTACCAGGGATTGAACTTGGGACCTTGCACTTGCAAGGTAGGCAGAGAACCACTGAGGTAAATCCCCGGCTTGATGGTATCTTTTGAAGTAGAAAAGTTGTATCTGATTAAATTCAGCTTCTCTTGTTTCTTTTGTTGGTTGTGTATTTGGTATCATATCCAGGAAGCTTGTTATTTAACCACAGTTCACAAAGATTTATGGTTTCTTAAGATTGTAGTTTTAGCTCTTAACATTTAGGTCTGTAATGCATTGTGAGACTTATTTTTGTGTATGGTATGAGGTATGGGATCTGACTTGATCTTTTTCTCAAATAATCCACTTGTCTCAGCATCACTTACTGAATGGACTATTCTTTCCATTGAATGATCTTGGCATCCTTGTTGTAAATCAGTTGGCTGTAAATATATTGGTTAATTTATGTATTCTCGATTCTACCATATTGATCTCTGTGTCTGTCCTAATGGCATTATCTTATTACCTTGACTACTGAAGCTTTTTAGAAGGTTTTGAGGGCTGGGGATTTAGCTCAGTGGTTTCGCCACCTGCTGCACAAGCGCAAGGGCCTGAGTTCAATCTCCGGTACCAAAAAGAAAGTTTTGAAATTAGGAATTATATGTCCTCCAGCTTTTTCAAGCTATTGGGGACCCCTTGGATTTCCATATGAATTTGTCCATTCCTGCAAAGATTTCAGCTAGGATTTTGATAATGGATTGCCTCGAGTCACTAGATCAATTAGGAGTATATTGTCATCCTAATAATATGAAGTTTTGCCAGGTGGGGTGGTACATGCTTGTAGTCCCAGCACTCAAGAGGCTGAGGCAGGAGGATCACCCCAAGTTTTAGGTCAGCCTGGGCTACATAGTGATTTCAAGTCCAGCCTGAACTACATGGTGAAACCCTGTCTTAAAAAAAAAAATTAAAAATAAAAATAAAATGAAATCTTCTGATCAATAAACACCAGATGTCTTTCCACTCAAGTGTTTAAATGATACTGGGTCTTATATTAATTTTTGCTCTAAAAAATGCAGTAGGGCTTATTTTCAGGGGATGCCTTATTTTTTTCATGTACAACAATCTACATTTATTCATGTATAGAAATCTCTACATTTATTAGGGCTGGGGATTTAGCTCAGTGGTTCTGCCACCTGACTCGCAAGTGCAACGAACTGAGTTTGATCCCTGGTACCAAAAAAAAAAGAAGAACTTTGAAATCTACATTTATTCATCATCTTCTAGAACATCATCCTAACTCTCCAGACCTTGAATTGCTGCCTGAGTTTCTTGTGACCCCATTTCCTGTGGAACCATTGGCCTAATCTCTCATGTCCAGCAAGAGTTATCCTTAAATGAGCACTTATTATCCATGTTCCCTGCTCGTAGTACATTCACAATACAGCTGTCAGTGATTTTATCTCATGAATTCTTCACCCAAATCACAACCTCTTGCGAATTGGGCTTCACAAAGATTCCATTAAATTGTTAATTGAAGACTTACAAGACAGTAGTGCCTACGAAAATGATGACAGTTAAGAATGATGAAAAAAAAAAAATGAATGATGGTCCACACAAAAGCAGTGAACAATTGCAGACACCAAAATTCAGAAAACACTTTTTTATTTCACATGAGTGAATTAAATACATCCATTATAACACACTATGTATTGAATTATGAAGATTCATATTGGACATATCCACATCTGTTATCAAGTGTGCGTGTGTGTTATCAAGTGTGCAAGTTATTTGTGGTGGTTTGGTTTGGTTTTGGTTTGGTTTGGTTTTGATTTTCTTTGAGACGGTCTCACTGTGTAGTTTAGGCTGGCCTTGAGCTCACTATGTAGCCCAGGCTGGCCTCAAACTCTCGGTGATCCTCCTGCCTGAGCTTCCTGAGTGCTGCGATTACAGGGATGCATGTTACTTGTATACTGTGTCTGTACTCCAGTTGGTCATCTGTTTACACAGGCTTTTATCTCTCATCCAAAGGTGCCCACTTGGGTATTTACAAATAATTAAAATTTATATTATCATTTAAGTATTAATGTCAATAATATTTATTTATATTTAATTATATATTAATATTGCTTTATTATTCAGTATGTCTGTCACGTGCTGCAGTGGACATACTAAATGATTCCACCTGGCTGATGATCGTAACTGGGGCTTGTTTTTGCTTGTTTTGCGGTTGTATTACTAGCATCCTGAAAAATCATGCTAGGGCTTATTTTCCCATTAAGTCTTATATTTGGGGAAATACAGTATATGTTTTGATTTCCCCTGCTTTGTTTTCAAACTTGCAACAGACTTTGCTGTGTTGTATGTCAGTCATACGTGAAAAAATGGCCTCACTACTTTGTCATATTCCATGTTTTCATTCGCAAGAAGTAATAAAAGTTATAATTGTAAATGTATTTTCCCTTCATGGATAGCATTTTTTTCTATGTAATCAAACATTTGCCTAGCCCTTGTCCTACAAATATAGCAGAGGGCCATGACTTTAGGGCCCATATAGAAATCCCATCTGTTACCATATAGAAATGACATTGATATGGACCCAAATTAGAAGATGCCCTTTAAAAATTCACATCTTAGAGCAGAACTACAGAAGGAATATAATACTAGAAGAGAAAATGATTTATTTATAACATGCTATACTTAAAACCTTTTGATAAGAGGCCATGTGGCCTGCAAGGCCTAAGATACTGTCTGATCCTTTACTATAAGTTTGCTGACCACTAATGGGGAAGCATAGGAGGACCAGCATTTTACTGTAGGCCTGCTGAGCTTCAGGCACTATGCTATGTGCTTGTTTCTTAGTCTAACCTGAGAAGTAGGTATTGTTAATCTCGGTTTTACCAAAGACGAAATTAAGTCTTGAGAAGCCTCAAAAGCACAGCCAACAGAGGTGGCATTTGAACCTAGTTTTGCCCAACTTTAAAGTGTTGCTGTACTACACTGCCCGTGTTTCTTTGTATATTTCCTTTTCTCAAGCTAATAATTCTTTCTTCTAGTTTTAACCGCCTGGACCTTCCACCTTACAAGAGCTATGAGCAACTGAAGGAAAAGCTGTTGTTTGCCATTGAAGAAACAGAAGGATTTGGACAAGAGTAACTTCTAAGACTGCACCACCAATGGATAAGAACTTATTTGCAGTATTTGTCTTTTTCCTTCTCTGCCTGTTGCACATATTGTAAAATTGGGCTGTGACAGTTTAGAGTTATCTAAGTGTAAGTAAATTAATGTTACCATTGAAATTTATCTCCCAGCGATTTTGGATTTCTACTCATTTACAGAAACAGATCTACAAACAACTAGTCAGATCCTTCCTTAATATGAGATTTAACACTGCAATGAAATCTGCATTGTTTTATTCCACTAGATTATTTCCTTAATCATTTTGTATGTGTGTCAAAAGTCTTACTTGGAAGTAGGCTTTTTTCTTTCAGAAATTCTGCAAATATACAGGGAAATCTCTCAGTAACGGCAATATACAGGATCTTCCTATTAAGCCTCTTGCTAAGAGGTATTTAATAAAAGCGCAAGCTTAGCCCAGGTTCTGGGCACATGAGCAGACTTCTAGCTTGTGCTCTCCCTCTCATTTCAGTCTGGCCTGACTGTTGTTTTCCTTCCTGGAGCATGAATACATGCATCATTCTGATGTTATTCCTGGAAGTGATGCAAGACTTACATCTTTACAAAGTAGTTTTGTCTTTGAATTCAGGGAAAAGTAGGTTCCAGCTGGCAAATGACTTCATACCTCTCTTCATTTGGAAATTTGTTTTAATTGCCTTGCAAATACTGCAACAATGTTAACACTGTGGTTATTCACTGTTTTTAAAAAGTTAATTGGAGTTAATTTAACTGAATTTATCTAAGACTATTATTGCTAACTTTTGTATGCTCCTATATGTAAACTGAAACCTTATAATTTTATCACAATCTAACAACTTCAATTGTATTTAATTATTGCTAAGGACTTTGAGTTGTAACTAGACTGTTTCCTAGATCAAATAGAGGTCAGTGAAACAGCTTCTGAAATCACATTTTCATTTGGAAATGAGAGGTGTGGTACTAGCTAAAAAGAAGGGAAGATAATATCTAGTAACCACAGAAATGTATTCTGGGTATAAATTAAAATCTTCAGATTTACTATTTCTCTGACACATGTTGGAGTAGTCTTTTACATTGTCCTGAATTGAATTGATATTCCTCATCTGCAATATTCTTTTTACCTTAAAAATTTTAGCAGGTTTTCTTTATTTCTCCATAACTAGTTTTTTTTTGTTTTTTTTTTGGTACCGGGGATCGAACTCGGGTCCTTGCACTTGCACAGCAGGCAGCGAAACCACTGAGCTAAATCCCTGGCCCCATAACTAGTTTTTTAAAAGACTGCTCCTTTAGTAACTCATTAATGCACTTTGGCCTTCTTTGTAGTTAATTTATTTAACTTGGCCTATAGATTGTCAAGATGGCTGCTATCATAGATTTGACTTTATGGGTAGTGAGATGAGGCCTAAGCCAGCTGAGTCCCTATCATAGCCAAACCCTGAGGACAGCCTTATAACCCATGTAACAGGGACTTTGGCATGTTTCAGTAGTATAGCATGAACAAGTAGCATTAGGCCAAGTATACACAGCAAGTAGCAGATCCCTGTTCTGTATGGAAAGAAAATATTTTTACATCACCACCTGCTCTTCCTATTTACATCCTAGAACAACAAAAACATTTCTTAACTTGTGTATCTGTACTCTTTGACACTGCCATCATAAAGCAGAGACTTAATGTGAGTAAAAGGGTTGCCTCATCCAAAAACTATCAGTGTAAAGGGGAGATTAAGATTTCCCCAACTGTTTTATATTCCACGTACCCTAGGAAATGTAGTGTGATCTCTAAAAGCCCTAGTTTCTAAAATAGGGATTCTCTGCCTTTTTGTTGGTAGGGTAAAAAAAAATGCTATTGCTTTGTCTTACAGAGCAAATGTCTGCCAACTACCCATTCATTATGTATGTCTGAACTTTGGTAATATATGGCTGTGAAGATTAAGCCTTCTATAAATACATACTATTGAGGCAAATTCTCATAATGAAATGCAGTTACCTATAATATTTGCTAGAGATTTATAAGATTAAATTAAGAGATAATGTAAGCAAATAGGCTTTTTGGTTCTATATAATGCTTCATGATTCATTTAGGGACCTAGAAATATTGTGTGAAAATGTATAAATATTACCCAAAAGGCTTTCTGCCCTATATTTTTAAAATACAGAATAGTTATATTTGAAGTAGTCCTGGCCCTAGTTCTATAGGGCTTGGCTATTTAATATTTTTATGGAAGAAACATTTAGTTCTGGAAAAGGTAAATGCTTGTATATATTTTTGCAGCCCAGGATCTCCCTACTCCATTTCTTCCTTTAATTTAAGTGGCCACATGTATATGTCTTCCCTGCTGTGTTAGGAAAATGGGGGCTGGATATCCCAAGAATCAGAGGTTACATAAAAAAAAATAACTACAAATAGACAACAAACAAATATCTACAAATGTTATATTAAATTTTTGTCTAAACTGAACATTTGGAAATAGATTTATTGTAAATGTTTAATTAGAGCTTTTTTAAAAATCTGAACTAAATTGCTTTTAAGGTCCTTTTTCTTTGTAAGCATTGTAAATGCTAATAAATCTTGTTGATTATTTTTTAATGCATGTTATGTTGAAATAAAAACAAAGTAAAATGAGCAATTGCCTTATTCTTCTGCTCTTTTGGTGTGTTGGGGAAGGCAGCATTCCACAGACTGGGTCAGGAGGGAGGACCTCACTTGTTTCATCACATGGAGTGGTTTAAAACTGATCCAGCAGCTCATAACAGTGAATTCCCGCTCTGTCTTTTATATATCAAATGCAGAAGAATCCAATTTCACAAGACTTACAATAACTCTATTTAAAATCCAGTACTGATTTTTCATCAAGAGATTGACATACCAATGTCAGTTCATCAGAAATTTTAATAAAACATGACTCAGCTGCCCACTAAGGTCTCAACCTAAATGAACTATTTCACTCAAGCTCTTTCTGCCACTTCTTATCTGGTTAATAATCTGAAGTATTATCAGGAATGTCTCATGGAATTAAACTTTGCCTCTATTTTTTTATCCCTCCATGTTTTGGAAGGCAGCTATGCTAACCACTATACCACCAATGCCTCTATCCCTCCTTGTTTTGAATGTAACTTCATTCTCCTAAACTCTTTTATAGAGTTAACTATTTATACTTAGTATTGTTGGTATCTCCAGCCCCCCCCTCCTTTTTTGTTTTTCTTTTAGGCTTATTATAAAATTGTATATATGCTTTCGTTATTAACTAAAAATGGCAGCACTGGATTGTATATTACTATATTGGAGTACCTTTGTTTTCTTGGACTGTGATTTCAAATACTCAGGTAAACTACAAATATTACAGGGAGTCAAGTGCTTTTATACAGTTCCTTCAGGGAGTTGCCTCATTTGAATTTCCTTAAAAGATGTAAGACTGTTTATAATTAAAATATTTTTGGCCCTTCATTTGCACTTTTCTATTAGTCTTGAGTAAAATGGTGTTCCCCACCTACAGAAATGCCTTGTATGTAAACGAGCCATACTGACTTTTGCCTCTGCTTTTGTAAGTGGCAAATTATAAGCCTGTCTGTACAGAGGGGTACATAGAAAAAACTAGGTCTTCTCAACAAGACTGGATTTGGTACCTGTATTGATGAAATTTGCAGGGGCCATTGATAAATTTGAGGATCTCCATCTGAACTGCTTTTCTGAGACAAAAAGTGCTCTTAAGACAGGACCTCCACCATGAAGTACTAAGTAGAGATCCACCAGGTATCAAGATTGCTGTACAAGCTGGTCTGCTCATCAGCTTCAGTAGGCCATCTTATTAGAAAACCAAAATGATGTTCCTTTCCTCTAAAATGAAACCAGTAGAGAAAGGTATAGGAAGTGGAGTTTTTTAATATGCTGGTCCAATAGTAATTAGAAGATACAAATTACATATTGCTCCCAGGTTCTAAGTAGTAAACCCTATCCTAGTTAATCTGGCCATGGAAGCAGCAAGAAAGTTGTAGCTTTAGTGTGGCTAAGAACAAGGGAGTGGGCTGAGCATGCTGGCACACGTCTATAATCCCTGCACTTGGGAGGCTGAGGCAGGAGGATTGCTGTGAGTTCAAGGCCAGCCTGGGCAACATAGTGAATTCAAGGTCACCCTGAACTATACAGCAAGACTGTCTCAAACAAAAACCAAAGCGGGGTGACGTCCATACCCCCAGCATGAGGAAACCTTACATGGGAAATAAGTAACTTTCTACTAACCATTAACTCAAATCCCAGCAAAACATCAAACTGGGACCCAGCTATGGATGACCAGCTGGTGTTCTCTCTGGACTTTTGTTGTTTTGTTTTTTGTGGTACTGGGGATCAAACTCAGGACCCTGCACTTTCAAGGCAGGCGCCAGCACCACTGAGCTAAACCCAGCCCTGTTCTCTGAGACTAAGAAATGTGTGTCAGGGGCTGGGGATTTAGCTCTGATGTGGACAGTTCCTTGTCTTTCATGACCTTGAGATTTTTGAAGAGTACTGGTCAGATTCCTTGTAGATATCCCTTAGATTGTGTTTAATTTTCTTATGACAAAGGCTGTGGATTTTTGTGAAAATTACCAGAAGGTGATGTGCCCTTCGTACATATGTGGTTGCACATGGCATCAATATATGTCCCATTTACCAGTAACATTAATAACCTCGGTCTGTAAAAAACAAACAAATAACCTCGGTCTGTTTAAGACAGTGTCTGCTAGGTTTCTTGGTTAACAAAGTCACTATCCAGTCCTTTTACCATGTAGACACCCCTGGAAGGAGCACCAGATCCTTTACCACTGAAGTGTGGCTACCATGGGATGAAAATCTGGAGCTCAGAGCCTTGATTCAGAAACAAGCTCCAGTGCCAGGAACAAAGAACATTGTCAAATGGGGATGCTATACTATGCTGAACGACTGGAGATAATGCATGCCAAGTGCTGGGCACAGTAACGTGGCACAAAGGTTCACTAATGCAGCATGTATTTCCTGCTACAAGGCCCAGAAATTTTTGTGGTCTTTAGGAGGAGGTTACAGTGGGAAATGGGTCAATATAGATTCTGAGAAAATCCCCTTTTAAAGGTGAGAAAATCCCCTTTTAAAGGTAAGAAAACGAAACAGCACCGAGATATAAACTCTCTCCTCCAAAGTAACCCAGGTGGGATTGAATTCAAATTCCTAAATCATCGACGCCCAGGCTAGCCCTAATTTATCTCATAGCTTGCATGAAATATTCCCAAGGGGTCGCTCTACAGACTCCAGAGATACTGTACCTGACTCCAGTTGTAACCTCAGAATTTCCTATGTCTTCTACGTATTTTGGCTCCGCGCCTCTCTGCCTCAATCTGGGTGCAAAAGTCTCAGCAACGGTCGCTCTCAGCCTTACACTCTCGCACTGCCCTCCACCCAGGGTGTCCAGATCCATCTCAGACCTCGACTGAAAGCTGAATGAAGCTTCTTCCAGCACTCCAAAACCAGCATATTTTCGGCACAGCCGGACTTGAGAATTTTCCATAGTTTAAGTGCTCCTCTGCTTTTCGCTTTTGGACAGCAAAGAGCAAATTATCCACGAGCCCTGACGGAGCTGGTACATCAGTTCTCTCGCCCGCCCCACTTCCTTCGCTGGCTCCTGATAGGCTACCAAAGCAGTCCGTTTCGACAGGGAGCTGTGCGCAGGCGCAGAAAGGTACGGAACCGGGCTGAGTGTTGGCGACGCGGAGCTACCGCATCGGCCGGAGATGGTGAGTGTCCACGAGAGTTTGGGTCTAGAGGCTGCCTGTACCCCACAGTGGCCATCTATTTTTCACTGGGGTCTCTGAGCTACAAGGAGAGGAGTCTGCGAGGCTGGGCAGGGTCAGGCCGGGCCTGAGCCAACTAGAGGGCGGAACCCTGGCGGCGCGGGCCTCTAGACCTGGCCCGAGGCGGGGCCGCCGGAAGCGGCAGCCTCTTACCCGGAAGCGGGAGCTGGTGCTTCTGTGCTTGGACTCCTGCGGCCTAGCTTTAGGGTTGCGGGACCCCAACCTTGAAAGTAGTGTTTCCTTGGGCCGGGGATTAAGCTCAGTGGTTTTGCTGCCTGCTGCGCAAGTGCAAGGACCCGAGTTCGATCCTCGGTACCAAAAAAAAAAGTAAGTAGTGTTTCCTGGAAGCTCAGTAGGTGACAGGCACCGCTTTTTGTGTTTTGTCTTTCCTTCTCACAGCTCTGAGGTAGATGTGACAATTAACATCTTACACATTGGAATCTAAAGCCAAGCTTTGCCTCAGGAAATGGTGACAGTGGACTTAAACTCGAGAAGTTTGAGTGCCCCTCTGTCAGTGTAACTTTTTCCAGCCGCTCAGATTGAGTATGTGAGTCATGAACGGGCGGGGTCTACCCTTGGGGAGCCCAAAGCCTTCTGCTTTGATTGCAGCCGTGGGTTCCTTTACACCTTTGCAGGGTGTAGTTTCCTCTTATTTCCTCACCACTTGTACAAAATTGGCAAAGACCTTTTTTTAACTCCTTGAATATAGAATTGTTCTGCATTTTTCATTATTACACCACAAAAAATGCCTCCACATCATTAAAAACGTAATAATGACTCAAATACATGTAACTTTATCTTTCACATCATGTTGCTACAATTTTTAACAGAATACTTGTACACAGTAATATATATAATATTCTGAGCGAAAAGTCTTCCAAGGCCGGGGATTTAGCTCAGTGCTTCCGCCGCCTGCCTCACAAGTGCAAGGTCCCCAGTTCGATCCCTGGTACCAAAAGAAAGTCTTTCAGCAACTCTGACCCCTATTTTAGTCTCCTTGAGAAACAACCATTTTTAGTTTCTTGTGTATTTATACAAGCATATATACGTTCCTCCTTTTTTCATTACATAAATGGAAGCTTTCTACAACCCATAATGTTCTGTTGAGTTTTTTGTTTTGTTTTGTTTTGTTTTGTTTTCATAAAAGCAATACTTGTGTGTGCGGGTGTGGTGGCACAGGCCTATAATCCCAGCACTTGGGAGGCTGAGGCAGGAGGATCGAAGTGAGTTTGAGGCCAGCCAGGACTATATAGTGAGTTCAAGGCCAGCCTGAACCACGTAGCAAGACCCTGTCGCCAAAAAAAAAAAGGTAACACTTTTACAGTTCTTATAGTATATTGTGTTGCTTTCCTAGTAGATTGCTTTTATAAAAGTCTTTGCCACAATACATTTAAAAAAGAAACCAGTATTGCTATGATATTTTTATTTCTCTCTTTACAAGGAATGATCTTTTTCTGTGTATCATTTATCATTGGTGTATTTTCTGCCTACTGGATGTTTGCTATCTTTCTTAATCACTATATGATGTTTTAGCAATTACTCCTTTGTTATATTTGATGCACATATTTTTCTATCCTGTTTGTTATTGTTTTGCAGAAGTTAAGGTTTTATATTTAGTAGACAAATTGGTCATGTTTCTTTCATGAATCATTTTGCTTCATATAGTTATTCCACCTATGCTGAGCCAGTAAATAACCCTGGAGCTTTATTGCTGTGCTGTGTTCCATTTGTTGGCCACATGCATTTGGGAGCTGGAGAATTCAGAAACTTGTCTTCTTTCCCCATTGACTAGAATGTATTTCTTTGTCGTCCTCTAGTTCTTTACTT